TGCTGCTTCGGGAAGATGTTGAGTAAAAAATACACCCCTTCCTAGTTGAGATAAGGTCAAGTAAGCTACTTTACCATGTGTTTCAAGGTCACCGTTCAATTATCCCGTATACTTTCCGAATTAAGCTGCACCAATCAAACTGCATCTAAGTTATTTCGTGTTTCCATTTATACAGGTACCTCAATAAGACCACTGCTGACGATTCGGTTCACGGCTTTGAACGTGTTTCTCGTGATCTTCACCCAACCTCGTGCATGATTTATCCTCGGTTTCGCCTTTATTTTGTCGGTTATCATCGGGCAATGAACAGCGTTGATGTGCTGTGATGTGTATAGGCCGGGCACTGTATAGTGGTCAGGTAAAGAGTCGTAGTCAACCATTTCTACTATGAATACACCTTCCAAGCAATTCAAATTTTTGTCCAAAACATTGCAAGCAGCAAACTGAATGGGGAGCTTTTTCAAAAACCTGTTTTTTAAACTTTAATTGGGTCTTGTTTCTTTGGTGTTTTCACGGAGTGTATACGAAGAGAAAGAGAACACGTTGGTAAACGGTAGTGCCATCGCTGATTTCATATCATGTAACTTGATTTTCACCTTGTTTGAAGCTTATTCATTAATATCATTGAAAGTTAACGACAATGCTTCGCACTTTTTGAGAAATGCACAAGTTATATTCGGTAGTAAAAGGACGCACCCTCATTTACATAATCTGTTCTCTTGGGGGCCATGACATTCCCCTTTGTATGCCGTGTCACAATGATATCATCTGCCCATCTGATTAATCAAACGTTTACGGTCACACTCCATGGTCTGGAGCCTCGAAATAAGCTCAAGAAACCTGGTGTGCAGTGCATGAACAAGCCGTTGCGGCTTTGAGAGCTGGATATATTCTTCGACTGGGACCCCCTGTCACAAGCGAACGTGAGATTGATGACAATCAGTAGATTTGTTGCTGGGCAGCGTTTCGCTTTTGACGCAAAAGCTTCGTCAGGCCAAATGTGACTAGGTTACAATTTCGGTCGAGATTTAAGGCGGAAGGAGAACCAATCAGCTAAGTCAAGCTAAAACTCTGTTGGGTGTCGGTCGAGGGGTTTTAGTGTGTTGAACAAGAGTTGGGTCGTTGGGGAAACCTACATATGTTTGGGGCTAGCCTAGGGTCTAGTTCTCCTGGTTCTGTTCATTTGATGGTTCCTCTTGAACTTCGTTTGAACTTTCTATCAGTCTGTGTGGGTGAGCTGCTGCTAAGATGAATTTGTTAACTTTCAAATCGATGGTAACACAAGAGACTTCGTCGGTGAGGATGATGTTTCGCGGAAATCCACAGGCAGCCGAAACCAAACAAATTTCGCTTTCATCCAGCTGGGATCCCTGCACAAATGTTTCTATGAATTAGCGTGACCGGATTACGTTTCAGAATGCAGTGATGAAATGAAACTAGGTAATGAAACCAGAGTAGTAGGTGAAATCTGCTCGGTGGTCAATTAGGATGTCTTCTGTTCAAATGCATGCTGTATTTTATTGTGAACCATGCACACCACTTCAAACCGGAAGTCTCTGAGGCTAGTTGTCATTTTAGATTGTGTACTGCGATCACAGTGAGATCCCCTCTGTTAGCATCCGGCTGAATGGGGTAGAAGTGTCCTTGACCATACGTAGAGTTCAACCGCTCGACCCTTGATGTCTGGTGAACAGCAACCAGTCCAGATGGTTAGACTCGATATTGGCCATGTATCAAAACCAGAGTTGGGTGGCTACCATATGAGAAGGGTATATAGAAGAATATACCACGGCCCGGATTCCATCTCTCCCTCTCTCATCCAACCCAACTTGACTAAGTCGGAGTGTAGAAAATTTCGGGTTCTACCTACACCCGATTACCTACCAGTTACTCATTCGTCATCCATTCAAAACGGGATTGAAACCAAGAGTCCCTCACTTAGAACTTGCTCAGTTCTGCCCTTCAAGATGAACCTACGTGAGTGGAAGATAGCTTAGAATTGAATCACACGCTCTCACATACCACGGAAACGGTTGATTTGTGATTGTGGCACGGCAGTCGACATCAGGTGGCATCTGCTTCCACAGGGTGAAAATTTGTCTCATTTTCTAGGTGAAGGTTCATTTTATTCTATGGCTCCTCGATCGCACCTAATATCGGACGCCCCAAGACTGTCGTCTCATGAAAGCGGATCTGGCATGACCCCTACATAGCTTCACCTCCTGCCAGAATTAAGAATAGGGTGCTGAACGTGTGCATGTCAATGGCCTGGCGAATATGCAACTAGAGGATAATTAGTTCTAACAAGGATATAAGTAACACATTGGAGCTTCAAATATACCACTGGAAATCGAACAGTGGTGCGCCACAAGAATCTGATGGTAAGTTTAAATTTCCACAAACCTGTCTGAAATCCAGAATTAGCTGTTATCAGTGCCCAGTATAAATATCATTTGTCAGATCGACTGACTTGTTCCTTTGCCTCAAATTCTAGATGGTCCTGCGTTACGTCCCGTGCACCATATTTACTCCGTTCTATATGAAATAAGAATAACTCCAGCACAATAACCATGGTAGAGGAATCCGAGAATTTTGCTATTTTAGTGCCGCAAGCCTAATGCCCTAATGCCCACGAATACGGTCTGTTTGTTCACGTATCAGTGAATAATGCAAACAGTATCCTCTCATATACCAGAAAGAGGCGGAATCATTCATACGTTTGAAATTGTCTCAAGTGCCGAATGAGTAAAACAGAACCTACAATTGTGCTCAAACACGGTTTGTGTGAACTCGACCGGTGATTGCCTGATCCACAAAGGAAGCACCCTCAACGGAACGGATGATATTCATGAGTTCCCTGAGCAGTCCACGGTCAAAGGTGTAATTCGTGATACAAACAAACACTCATCAACGGTACAAATCATAAAAATGTGACGCCATGCCCACTCACCTTTCTCTGTCGACAGTATTTCAAATAGGACCCCATTGTAACGAGAAAGCGATTTTGTTGTTTTTGATGCCTTGGCTTTTGAGCTATTTGTATAGTCTGCATTATGTGGGATCAGCATGTGTTCACAGTTGCTTTTCAGTTGTCTTTTTTCTCACATTGTCGCGTACTCGGAGTGTAGAAAATTTCGGGTTCTACCTACACCCGATTACCTACCGTTTACTCTTTCGTCATCCATTCAAAACGGGATTGAAACCAAGAGTCCCTCACTTAGAACTCGCTCAGTTCTGCCCTTCAAGATGAACCCACGTGAGTGGAAGATAGCTTAGAATTGAATCACACGCTCTCACATACCACGGAAACGGTTGATTTGTGATTGTGGCACGGCAGTCGACATCAGGTGGCATCTGCTTCCACAGGGTGGAAATTTGTCTCATTTTCTAGGTGAAGGTTCATTTTATTCTATGACTCCTCGATCGCACCTAATATCGGACGCCCCAAGACTGTCGTCTCATGAAAGCGGATCTGGCAGTTACCCATAGCTTCACCTCCTGCCAGAATTAAGAATAGGGTGCTGAACGTGTGCATGTCAATGGCCTGGCGAATATGCAACTAGAGGATAATTAGTTCTAACAAGGATAAAAGTAACACATTTGAGCTTCAAATATACCACTGGAAATCGAACAGTGGTGCGCCACAAGAATCTGATGGTAAGTTTAAATTTCCACAAACCTGTCTGAAATCCAGAATTAGCTGTTATCAGTGCCCAGTATAAATATCATTTGTCAGATCGACTGACTTGTTCCTTTGCCTCAAATTCTAGATGGTCCTGCGTTACGTCCCGTGCACCACATTTACTCCGTTCTATATGAAATAAGAATAACTCTAGCACAAAAACCATGGTAGAGAAATCCGAGAATTTTGCTATTTTAGTGCCGCAAGCCTAATGCACGCGAATACGGTCTGTTTGTTCACGTATCAGTGAATAATGCAAACAGTATCCTCTCATATACCAGAAAGAGGCGGAATCATTCATACGTTTGAAATTGTCTCAAGTGCCGAATGAGTAAAACAGAACCTACAATTGTGCTCAAACACGGTTTGTGTGAACTCGACCGGTGATTGCCTGATCCACAAAGGAAGCACCCTCAACGGAACGGATGATATTCATGAGTTCCCTGAGCAGTCCACGGTCAAAGGTGTAATTCGTGATACAAACAAACACTCATCAACGGTACAAATCATAAAAATGTGACGCCATGCCCACTCACCTTTCTCTGTCGACAGTATTTCAAATAGGACCCCATTGTAACGAGAAAGCGATTTTGTTGTTTTTGATGCCTTGGCTTTTGAGCTATTTGTATAGTCTGCATTATGTGGGATCAGCATGTGTTCACAGTTGCTTTTCAGTTGTCTTTTTTCTCACATTGTCGCGTACTTCCTCTGGTCTACGCCACAACAACCAAAACACAAGGAACAAGGTTTTGTAGTTTGATAGATGAATTCTTCCGGAAGATGTTGGAAAATGTGATCGTGCGTAGGAGGGTCAATGAGCTACAAACTTACATCGTTACACATTCGCAAGAGGTCAGCCGTAAACCAACACAAACACGGGAAGCTGAAATTGCACAGCTCCCGGGGTTTGAATAGACAAAGCACTCCTGATTGAAACTGACAGAAGGATAGCTGCTTACCAAATTGAAAGCCACAGATAGTGAGATGAGGCAGTCACACTTTTTCTGGAAGATCCCGAATGGGAAAGATCTCGGACTTGGTCTAACTGCTTTCTGGCTTATAGCCCATCTAGGCTTGTGTCTACTATGATAAGCACATCCAAATAACTTGGAAAACGCATAATTTGTGTTAAGCGCTGAAATGAGTCGCTGAAATAAGTCGTTTTATTCACTAGGGCAAGACCAGGGCAACTGACGTTCATATATAACTGCACTATAGTTGCAGTATTAAAAGAGCGAGTAGAATTATCAGTGGGACCTTGAGGCAGCGGGTGAGAGGTTGCGCGTGAATTCACAATCGATTTGATCTTGCTGAGTTGCCTGCCTCAGGTACTGCCATATTACATTCAATTACCGAACGTTTGTAACCCGATGTGAAGGGACCGGAAAAGGGACCGAGTCACTCGAGACCCACTGGTGACATATTTTTTGTTGGAGGAAATCAACAGACATGCAATCAGGAGAAGATTGTGTTGTTTGGACAATACCCTTATAAACAGTAACTCTGAACTTGTGGGAATGTTGAAAAAACGACCGTCTGTCTCCAATTCGGATGCTCGAATTAACACATGGTACAGCAATGTATGTACGCATCACTGATAAATCGGAGAAATCACCTTTTGATCTCAACTGTTCCACCTTCGTGAGTTGCTGCACAAAAGTGCTACTCAAATGAGTCATGAGTTTTCTGATGAGGCGTTATGTTCTCAACAGGACTAAAATAGTTACTTGACACGATAGAGAGCTTGAAGATACTGGAAAGAACATCCGTCATTTGATGATCGCCCCATGACACACAGTGTGAGTGGAATATGGCATTCATCGCATGAGTTCAGATTTCCGGTCAGGTGACATCTGTGGGTGGCTGATTTCTAGCCAACCGATTGTGAGCAGCTTTGTAAATTCCCTGAAATGTCTGGTAAATTCCGGTCGTACTGATCAGCTTCAAGTGTTTGCGGATATTTCCTTAAGTAAATGTAGTCTATTTCCTCTACCACAATGAGAGCCCTGGAGTGAGATGGTTAGTATGCTACGCATTCCAGTTTCCTTCGCGCTCAAAATACACTACACTACTCCAATCTCATTCATATTCTTAAGAATATCACGAGAACGATCAATTTCCCATTCAAGTGAAGCCAAATATTTCAGGCCTTTCTACCTTAGGAGTGATAAGACCCGGAATATGGGATCATTATGTGCGTGGAACGGCCACAGTTGTTCATCAGAGGAAGCAAATTCTGGTGACAGCTGGTCCGTTTGGTGTTGTTTCCCACCATTACGACCCAACCTGGTCCCCGTCTTTTCTCACCAAGCTTGTTTGCGACAGTCAGCTGAAATCACAGCCATTCCTGATGCTCCCGCAGAGTGTACTTTTCTCATTAGCGGCACAGTTAGTGGCAAATTCGCCAATCATGTATGTTTTCACAAATTTGTCGGAACTTACCGTGATGTTCATGATAAGGACTCACTATTGGATGTCACGCACATTAAATTGCGTAACATAATTAAAAGTGTCACAGTGATTATCGGCAAACAGTTCTTCCTTTTTGTATACGCCTTTACTATTTCCCATGTCCGAATGCACTGGCGGACACTCCCTGCATTTTGCTAACGGAGAATCAGTAGAATTGCTGATCATCGCTATTCTATAACGCACTCGGTCCAACCGAATTGTGGTAGAGTAGGGTCCCTGCAGGCGATTTCCCCTCCAGGGTTGATAGATTCGGAGTCAGGCGGGATGCTTGCTGTGGTTCTTTTACTTTCCGCCTCATGAAGGTTCTTTTGAAAGTATCCAGAAGTTGTTGTGACATGCTGTTTGATTGCTGGTGATATGGAGGTTTTCTAACGTGTTCAGACACACTGCCAAGACAGAAGTCCGCAAATTGGGACCACGTGAACTGTGTCGCGTTGTCAGAATCGAGCTATTCAGGGCTGGCAAAACGAGTGAAGACTTCCTGCAACATGCCAATGGGTGCTGTGGGCGTCGTTGTCACCATGGGCAAAATCTCTGGCCACTTTCTCTAAGCGTCCACGATAATGATAGAACTTTGACCGTCCACGGGACCTGCACACCACATGTATTCTTGACGATCCAGTTTGTGGTACCCGCCAAGAACGGAGTTTACATTTTCCGGGGGAATTTGAAGCCATCGCACATTTGTGGCCAGATTTGACGAGCGTTTCGACTTGGTTGTCAATGTAAGGCCAATAAACCCAGCTCCGGATCAATAGTTTTACCCGGTCGGTCCCAGGATATGCTTTATGAAACTGTTGCAAACAAGCTTTTGCAGCTCCTCTGGTATGACAACGCGTCCTGCAGCCAATGAGCAATCACCAACAACCGAAAGTGACGGTCGTCTTTGGTAAATCTGAAGCAATTCTTCGTATGTAACGTTTTGTGGCCACTTGGAGAAGTCGTACTTCTTTACTTGACTCAGCAAATGCTCCTTTATGGTTGTTTTGCGTGTCATAGCGAATGTGATTGGAGAACCTTTGATGGCTTCCATGGGTGTACATCGTATTTCCGATTCAGGTGAGATCTGAGTTGAATCCTGTGAGTACGGTGGTCTATTTTCTTAAAGTCATGATAATGCATCCACCTGATCGATCTTCTCAGTGGATTTATTCTTGGTGCTAAAGTTGTAACCGAGTAAAATTGTAGGCAATTTTCGAACTCGATTAGCAGAATAGACAGGAAGGCCTTTCTTGGACGCGATCATGGCTACTAACACAATATCCCATCAACTGGAAGGGAAGCCCTCAGAGCTTGTTCCGGTCTGAAAATCAGTTCTATTTTAGTACGTATGTGTTTATGATTCTTTGAGATTTGTGCCTCCTCATCTCCAAATAATCTCGATAAATTGGTAATTTCCGTAGAAATTGATGCCTCATTTTAGTTGCTGTTGAGGTTCGATATACCAGTGTCGTCTAACACGGCTTTATAAGAATAACGTGTTGATGTGCGGTCGGTATTCATGGCTGTGTCAAATTAGCCCAGGCTGTGTCTGGTCATTGTTATACCCGATGACACCGCATGTACCGAATCTCACTGCCATCGAAATTAGCGTCTGGTTTTTGTTTCATTCCGATAGAACGATTATAGGGTTTTGGTCTAAACATACAATCATTTGGCTTTTTGTTGGATTGCAAAGCAAATGCTTCGAGTCTAAGGCAAACACTTGTATCAAATTGATCGATCCCATGTTCGGCCATCCGAAGTGCAATATCGACGCCACACGTTTCCGGTGATCAGAGGTGGCCTGAAACCGCTGCTTTCAAAAACGACAGGCTACGACAAAGTAACGTGATGAACCCTATCTGATGGAGAATGATGATGGGATCATCGAGTGGGTCTAATGCGACTTCGTTTTGCTCCCAAAGTTATTCTGCTCGGTCTTCACACAGAATCACGTATAAACTTCTTGAATATTTCAATATTTCTGCTCATTCAGACCAACGTTCCCTTCACGCGGACTGAGCAGAATCACTATATCTTGTTTAATGTTCCGGTTCAGAGATCCCATTGGATGCAGCCTATCAAGAATCACAAGAGAAATACGAAGGGAATCTTGAATTTTAATCGTTTCCCTGGATCCAACACTGGTGGATTCATTAGCTATCTTATCTCCAGTCGTTTGCGTCTGTCTGCGGCAACGATACATTCCAGGCTCATTGAGTTAGTGAGCGATTCTGGCCACATTGGAAACATGTACCCTAAATGAATGTATACATTACAGTGATATCCGATTGAGCCTCTTTGTTCCAAGGCTTCTGGATTCATTTAATCTTCTTTATCTTACGGTATAACCCGGGACTTCGAACAGTCAGCGTCACATGCCATTTCCATTTCTGATTTCCTCATCGAATATTTCTGCAACCCGGCACGGAACACAGTTTTCTGCGTCTCGCAAGCCCATCGGCCATGGGGAAATTTAAAAAACTGCCCTCGGATTGAAAAGGCATGCTTAGATATGAAGTTCAACTTCTGCTCCTCGAGTCGGTTAATTTCCAAAAGTATAATTTTATCACCATCGATAATTCTTTCATTTCATCTACATAACTGGCTACAACCTAAGCTAGTCTGTTCATGGGTGCTGCTGTGCTTATGAACGACTGTGCAGAAATCATGCACCTCCTTAGTTTGTTCCACCTGTCCGCATTGATCAACCCTCATGTATGTTTCACATGTCCACCAAATTTTCAAATAGCGAATGAGGGTGTATGTATTGTGGTGGCATTTTGTGCTGCAGCCGATTATTGTATTGCGCACTCTATGGACAAAGAAGACACCAACTGGTCTACCTGATTGGCCGAAATATTCGTCGTATTCCCCGACCCATGTTAGATACGCGTGGTGCTCAAACTGGACTGAAATTTCTGCTCGAACCACCAAATATGGGAACACCAGTATGGCGCGATTTGGAACCCGACCACCCGGAATACACAGCCACCGAGCACGATGTTCGTTATGTGAATCGACCCACGCAACTGAGTTCGCACGTTATCTCCTTGTGGCTACGAGATGGAAAATCACTTTGCAATGTTCCCCGCTTTAGAATTCGACTCAGGACTTGAGCAGTTTGTGAGTATGGTGGGAATCTTCCAGACGGCCATTACAAGGTTCTATTTCTCAGCAATTTCCCGAAACCGATGTCGGTACTCGTACATTCCCACGCAAGATTTTCTGGCTTTGAAAATGTATGGCAGCGAGGGACGAAACTGGATTGTGCATATGAATAAATGATCACGTATCAATACGTTTCCGCAACCTAGTTTTCTTGGTATTAGACCCCACGCAATAGCACTCTGAGATCAGCAGTTTCCGTTCCACAGTATTTGAGCAACTTCGAAATATTTTGGGTTTCCCGCCTTGGGCTCATCATGCAGGCGTAGTCATCGTGAATATTTATTGTCGCTTTTAATCGTCATCCAAATTGGTTTCCTCCATTTCACAGGCGGGATAATCGAGGCGGTTTTTTTGCGTTGCCTTACGACACAAAATGCCCACGCATTGACAATTGCTTCCTTACGTTTGATCTCAGATGCGCCCTAAAGCCAGCCATCTGTGAGCAACATTACAACGCAAAGTTCTCGCGCGGATTCCTCTGGATGTGTGATCACATTCCTCTTCAAAATACTCAAACTGAATTGTTGTCGCATTTTTGTTGTGTGAACTCGTAATTTGCTAGTCGTTACCGTTTTGTCAGTTCCGTGCTATTCCATCAGCCCCGATTTAACTCACATTACCCCGGTTGCTGTCCTGTCTTGTTTATTCCTTTCACACTGGATTTTTCGACCATCTTATCATTTCTCTCCCTCGATTTTTTCAACGTCTCTTCAGCTCGCCAATGGTGCATTTGTGTATTTTGTGTTAGTCACGATGTTTGATGTGCTTTTGGAATACCGAAAACCAATAAATTGTGTGTTTCTTGGCTTTTCGTATTACCCGCACTCGAATTTGTCCCCAACTTCATCGCCCCCATCATCATATCATCACCATGTCGGTATTCAACGCATGATAAGTAGCCATGTTTTCTTGATATTCGTGTAGGTTGCGATGCTGCAATTTGTTGGGGGTGCAGTCTGGTGTATAGTTTAATTTCGTGAAACATGCTGCCTTCGTTTTGAGTTTAATAGTGTTTCCGTATTTTGTTCATGATCTTGCTGACTACCGTTTAGTCGGGCTGCCGTAACATGTTTGCAGCGTTTCAGAATAGCCTTAGATACATTACCCTCAGTTTTACTTTGGTCACTATTCCGTTTAACATAGGAATAGGCAGCGATTTTGGGAGCAACCTCAACGTTAGGTTTCAAGGAATGCGATCCGTTTACTCAAGACCTTACCACCATATTAGCTGGGTATGTTTCTACTGGTTTATTTTGAAATTTTGCGGTTTCTTGTGGATCAAATGCCCCGAACCAAATCTCGACACTTCTAAAGCATAAAATGTATTCCATCAGGATAGTAAGATGCCTTCACTTCGTGTTTGCAGCGTGTCTATTGTACTGAATGAAAAGCATGTATAAAGTCTTGCATTTTCTTCAAAGTTTTGAGAATAGATTTGTTTACGACGCACAATCCTCGCAATCCTGTGCGATCAAATGGATTTCACGAGAAACAAGATACTGTATGATACGTGTATGATGTATCTACCTAAATGCACTTGCTCATCCCCCTCTTGTCATCTTACTTCTGATAAATTCCAGGATGTATCCTCGCTGTCCAGTTCGTCCGAACTCATGATCACACCCCTGGGTTCATTGACTCGCTAGTCTGACCTACTTGGCTGCAAAGGGTCAGACAACGCAGGGGATAAGGCACGGGTGCTTGTGACTCCTAGTGTAACGGTGATACTACTGATCGGGAGGCACGCGAGTAGTATGTGTTTTTCGTAGAATTTCGCTTTGCGTCGACTGAATTCTGTTGCGGAATTCGTGCGGCCACTTTGTAACATTTGCTTGGATTTGACCGACGAATGAGTGGAGGCAACGAATCTCTAGGATGACTCGTTCGGGAGAAGATCTGTGTCCAGTTTTTGTAACTAAGATGCAGATTAGTGTTTTGCTTCCCTGTTCAATGGTCTGTAACCGGTCTGTTGGCATTTCCGAATAAATAACTCCACAGCAAGGGCCTTCTTCCTTTCACCAGTAATTCTGTTTCTCTTTCACACGGCGGTTACCAGGTTGACTAGTCCTTATACGTCCCGGATGAGAGACCCGATGAGTTCCGTTCCAAATGTCTTGTTTATTCAGATACTTTTCTGTCACTTACAAATCCTCTGCCATCTTCCCATTCAAACGATGTTTCCGC